GCCGTGCTGGAGAGGATGCTCATCAACTGTGGGGAGCATTTGCCATGGAGCAGAGGAGGACCTTTAGAGCTTGACAGCTTTCAATTACAGCTCCAGCTTTTGACACTTTAACAGTGGCACATGAGAATAGGAGTGCTTTTACATAACAATGTAGCTCTCCCTTACAAATGTCCTCTTAAAAGGTGACAGTCAGTTCATGATGGGGAAGAACATGTTGGTCTTAATGATATCTGCATATCATTTACATAACTGAAATCTGTAGTATCTCAATCTTAATTTTGCTCAGAAGTTGCCTTTCTACCATCATTATTCTAGTGAGTCCTGTGTGGTGCCATTGATTGTAACTTTTTGTCTTTATTTTTTTTCCCCCTCACATACCCATGTAAATACATGTCAACAAGTAAACAGCAGCTCCATATCTCAAAAAATGATCATGGCTGGGAATTTTTTTTTAATTATAGACACACATGAGAAGGTCATCTATCAAAAAGTATAGCCAATTATAAACCAGATGCGAAACTAGAATGGTGGTGGTGTTGTGACCACATGTCCAAGGTAAAGAGAAGAACTTACACACTGGGAGAAAAGACAGATCATACACGGAGAAGGTGGCTGCCTCCATTTAGTATCAGCAGCAGTAGAATAACACCTTTTAGGACACCCAGACACTTCAAGAAGACTCATTTTCATTTTCAAACAATAGCTGAACCTTTTAGGACACCCAGACACTAAGAGGATTGGTTTTCGTTTTCAAACAATAGCTGAAAGAATTGCTATAAGTTACATTTTAGCAAGAAGGAAAGAACATGGAAATGAATGATACCATTGCAGAAACAACAAGACAAAGAATTTGGATAATTAATAAACACAAGTCCTTTGCATAAATGGCTGCCTTTTGCAATAATTTGATTTATATATATATATACATATATGTATATATATGTATATATATATATATATGTAGTTACTCTGGTTTTATGTTTATTTTTGAGACAAGGTCTCACTTTGTAACCTAGGATGTTGTGAGACTCACTGTGTGTATAGCTCAGGCTGGCCTGGAACTCATGGCCATCCATCCTCCTGTGCCTGGCTCCCAAATTTTGAGATTATAGATATGAGACAGTGTTTTCTCCGTGTATTATACAACCATCTGGGCACAAGGCTAGTCTCTGAGATGCCTCCGCTTGTAATCAATTGCTTCCACTCCAGGTCGTTAATATCAATTTCCATGTATAGCTGAGAACAAATAGCTAACCTCGAGATCAGTTTCTGTTGAGCGTTTATAATTATAGTCATTGTGATAGTTTGTACTGGCTGGCACACTGACATAATCTCAGCTCATCTAGAAGATAAGCTCTGGACATGCCTGTGAGGGACTGTTTAGATTCAGTCAGCCTTTGGGAATTCTTGTGAGGGATTGTCTAGATCAGGTTGGTTTAGGTAGGAAGACCCTCGTTAACTCTGCTGGGGTCTTGAGTTAATAAAACAGAAGGGAGCTGAGCACTAGCATCTGTGGATACATTGAAACCAACTGTTTCAGGCTGTCACTGTGATTTCTGGAGCCATGATGGACTGTACCCTCAAAACTAAGGCAAAGTAAGTCCTTCCACTTTAAGGGATTTTTGTCTGGTATTTTACCACAGTTGAAGGAAAAGTAACTAATATGGAAACTGATATGGATAAGTAGATCCCTTGCTGTGAATAAGCTCAGGACTTTGGAACTTGTTTGAAGGACTGTGGAAGATTTGGGATTTGGGCTTAAAACAGAGCTTGAAATGGACCATTTTGGTGGGCACTTGAAATACAAGGATGTTGAAGAGAAATGTGTGTAGTGGAGACCCAGCCCAGGAGATTTCGGAGTGGAACAGGGATGCTATCTGGCACTGGCTTGAGGCCATTTGTGTGACATTCTGGTAGTGTTCTTCCCGTGTTCTGAGAACACAGCAGTAGTGGGGATGTGTGCCCTATGCTGCTGTATATTGGAAGTGTGACACTTGTTTTTACTTTATGGAGGCTCCCAGATAAGAGATTGCCTGGAATCTCTCCAGTTTCAGTGTTGGAATCCAAAGACTATCCCGTAGTATTAAACGGCCGTGATCTAAGGGGACAAGAGGAGGCAGTTATGATTTAAAAGTAACGCGTTTGAGTGTCAAGTTGACGAGGCAGAATGGTGATGGGTTAATATTGATGATCAGCTCCACAGGGTCTAGACTCAACCAGGAGACAAGCCTGCTTGTGAAGGATTATCTCGACTAGGTTAACTGAGGTAGGAAGACCCACCTTCACCATCCTACTCCTGACTGTGGATACAGTGTGACCAGTCACCTCAAGGTCCTGCTGTCATGACTGGCTGTTTCCTCAAGGTGTGAGCAGAAATAAAGTCTTCCTTAAGTTGCTTTGGTCAGGTGTTTTGTCTCAGCATTGAGGACAATTGCTAAGACAGTCGTACACTTCGTGTTTTCAAAGAGGTCCATTAGAAAGTTGTCCTGTCCCCCCTCCCCGCCCCATCCCTCCTCCCTAGTCCAAGGCTTCCTTCTGTTCTGAAAGGTAACCTCCCAGCTCAGCCTTGTACTCAGGACACATGATTTTTAAAGAGAGGTGTTCTAGGGAATGGTTACCAACTCCCAGGAAGAGTCACAGCACTCCTTAAAACAAGCTATATTCCTTTTTCTGTGGGGAACTCCCCCTTTGTGTGTGGTATGAGATACCAGTTCTGATTAAGATCATATCTTTTCTTTTTTATTTTAAAAATGAACACTTCTTCCACGCATAAATGAAGTAATAACAATAGCTGATTTTCTTGTGGCCAGAGCTTTGTGCCACTGCTCAGGGTCGGTGGAGGATGTGGTCTGTCCACTTCACTATTTTAATTATATCAGAGCAATTAGCTTAGAACTCAAGCTTCTGAAAACCCATTATAAAGATAAGGAATTCATTTGACTGTATTATGCTCCAAACTGTAAATGAGATTTAAGATTAATTGTCTATTAGGATGGATTTTAAATTGAAACTTCCTTCTGTTTTACATCTATCTGATTCACCATGAAGCTTGGTTTAAAAGGTTTCAAAATTACCAGTTCTTTAAAAATAAAGTTCTTTTTAGTTAAATTGAAGTCAATTTCTTTTTAAATCAAAGTGTTTTGTTCCCTTAAACTACTGTTTGCTCACTTCTAACTAGGTGGAGTTATATGTGTGTTGTTGTTGATGATGGTTAAATAGAGAATAACATGAACGAGGGGGCGGGGGACCCTAACGAAAAGCCCAGTTCCTATTGTCCTTCCCACAACATGGAAAACACTGAAACAATCTTTTTTTTTTCTTTTTCTTTTTGAAGACAAGTCTTCTCTGTGAATTTTTGGAGCTTGTCCTGGAACTCACTTGGTAGCCCAGGCTGGCCTCCAACTCACAGAGATCTGCCCGCCTCTGCCTCCCAAGTGCTGGGATTAAAGGCATGTGCCACCACTGCCGACTTCAATCCCGTATTTTTATTGTCAGGTTATAAATCCCATGAGGCAGATTATTGATGAAAACGATAGTCCTCCTATCCAGTACGTGTCGCTGGGTATTTGCTATAGTGAGGCAGAAGGATCAGCCTGAGAGCAGGCAGTGGAGGAGGGACTCCATGGCTTCCGACAGAGGTGCAGTCGAGTTTGGACTGCAGGTCACAGAGAGTGTTTGGAAGTGTGGAGATGAGTGTGGTGGGTCCTGGGGCTAAGGGAAGAGATGAACAAGGCAGGAACTAGAGGCAAGCCCATGCTTGGAGTTCTGTAAGTAAGCTAGTAGATATCAGAGGAAGGCAGTAACATGGTTTGCACTCTGGCTGAATACTTCTTTGGGAGTCATTGGAGAGAAAGTTCCAGGCAGCACATTAGCTGATTTTCTTTTGCTTATTCAACACGTATGCATCTGGTGCTCACCTTGTACCCAGTGCTGGACTTTTCCAAATAGTCTAGTTGGAAACCCATAAGGACACCCATAGCTACGGTGGGAAGGGGTACAGAAGCTGTGCCAAGTGTGACAAACCTCACAAGCTGGAGCTCACCACCTGCGTGGAAGTGAGACCTGAGAAAAGGCCAATTTAGTGTGAAGGGGTATGTGCACACTCCTGTGTTCAGATGGTGCCGGTCAGCTGACAATCCATCAGGTACCTGACCGGAGAAACTCAGCCTTCTCGGTGGTAAAATGGACAGCTCAATAAATCCCGAGTAATACTTGAACTTGGATTGGGTGAACTCCACAGACATAGTCCCCTGCCCACAACCAACCGGGAAGTACCATAGGCCTCTAGAAATACTGTCTTGATAGATGTGTGCATCTGAAAATCTATTTTTTAAGTGATTGCCATACTTCCATGGTAACTCCATGAGAGTACAGCCATTCAATGCCCAACCTGACTTCCACGCTTGAAGTCTCTGAACTGTTGTTTTTGCTGAGTGGCAAAAAGATCTTGATGAAAACAAAGGGAGGAAGCAGTGTATGGGGCACCTGTCCTGAGTTTCGGTGGCTGATTGCTCTACTAGTCAGTCATGCATAAACACACAGCTGTCTGCTGTGCTGGGAACATGGATAGACGCTGTCCCTCACAATGGCTGGGCAGTCCAGACTTAATTCTGAGCAGAGAAAACTGATTTCACTGATATCTTGTGATGATAAGAGAGAGGTTCAGGGAAGAACTGGAAGTAATTTAGTGGCTTGTCTTGACAGAAGACGTCCATTGTGGAGAAACAAACAGATTTGGTTCAGTTAAGGAAGGGCGATGCATTTTAAATATGTGGACATTATTATTCATTGTCCTGTTCTTCATTGTTGTTTTTGTTTTGTTTTTAAGGTAGGAAATGTTGTTCTTTGGACAGAGTTAAATGCTGCTCAGCATAAAAGGCTCGGCGTGGAACAAAGCTTGCAGACTGTGACTAATTGGCACTGCCTGGGCTATTGAGAAGACAGAATGTCTCTAATCAGCAACGGAACAAACCCTCACTAAGGCTCTCCTTCTCTCCTAGGACTTCCTTCGCTGGGCATCTGGCCGGCATCCTTGTTGGACTGATGTACACTCAGGGGCCTCTGAAGAAAGTCATGGAGACATGTGCAGGTACAGAACAAGGCGCCTGGCCTGACAGCAGTTAGAAGCTCACCTTCATTTTTGTATGCACAGAAGCAGCCCCAAGATTCCTTGTGGGTCACTTTGGAAATCTCCTGATGTATTCAGATTTCTCTTTAAACCAAGAGCTAACAAGACAGCCATCACAGGGCCTCACACTGCTCCGCAAAGGAGAATACCAACCCAAATTTCAATTCTGGGCTGTTCTTAAGGAACAAATGCTGCTATAGACTTTTGCCCTCACCCCTAATGCATTCACAGAAAACTGCAATTTTCCTCCAAACGTGAGGTTACAATAATGTATTTTTCTGTAACATTCCTTGAATTAATAGACATGCCTGGCAAGGTTACAGAAGGAGACCAAGGCTAGACTGGAGGACAGGGCCAGTAATTTGAAGAGTTCAGAATGACCACCAGGTCCTTGATGGGCAAGACAATACATTCATGGGAAGCCAAGCCATGTAATTTATCTCTTGAGGTTTGGTTCCTGCTTTTTATTTTCTTTGCTGTTTTTTTTCTTTGCTTTTCCCCTCCTCTAAATTGATGTTCAATGAAAATGTTTTATTTAGTAGTGAATGCATTTAGACCCTTTAATATAAAATACTGTACTGATTTTGACTTGTAAGGCAACTATTTTGCAAACACTTGTTTTATAGACCATGTGCATTCTAATATTTCATCTTTTATTCATGGGAACTCTTCTGAGACTATTTTACCTTTTCTTGAACCATAAATAATTTGTTTTCACAGTTTGCACCGATGACTGTTGTTCTTGGGAACCATATAATATTCATGGCGTTTGAAAGCTTTCCGAGCCCTGCTTACTGGCAGGTTGTGTTCACTTCGGGGTGATTTTTACAGGCTGTGCTGTATCTATACAGATCCCCATTTCTGCGCATTTGCCTGTTACTGTAGCTTGTATGTGCCTGGAGGAGGCAACAGGAGCCACCTCTGCTAACAGTGCCCGGCTCTATCACATTCCCAGCTCAGTAGGACAGTGCCTCTCTGGTCATGAATACTGATAAAGGGGGAGAGTGCATCTTCTTGATCCACTTTTCTGGGTCTTAAGATTTAGTGGTTCTTAAGGCTCTCTGCAGACAAACTAAAAAAATTGAGACATATGATTGGTTTAATTTTTAAAAAGGATTTTCCCGACCATTATAACATTTAAACTTTTTTTTTAACCTTCCTTAAGACCGTATCTGTTTTCTGGGCAGACATGTTTACATTCTGGGAGTCATGAAGTGAATCATTCTGGGAGCGTGTCCGGACCTCTTTCTGTCTGGTTCACCTGTGCCAGAGAAAGTCCCTTAGGAAGGGTAGGGATCATGGCTCTCCTAAGACCCTCTTGGGAGAAGGCTTTTTCCCACCGCAGCATGTCTGTCTTTTTATACTGGCTTCAGAGCCCAAGCCTGGTACCCTGAAAAGCAAACATCAGTTGAAGTCACCTAGAACTTTAAGGAACCACAGTGCATGTAAATTAGGGTTTCGCTGACACCCACCTACACACACACACACACACACACACACACACACACACACACACACA